GTGAGTTTGATGTTGTATTTTGTTGTTGCATTCAAGCAATTGACGCCGAACTGCCGCTAATTCAAAAGTGAAAGTAAAATGCGCTCGCCGCTTTTAAGCTATTTAAAAGCGAAGGAAAGCGAGGAAATGAGGGACAATTCAAACGAACAATTGCTTTACGCCAAATTGCCACTATTTGAAAGTGAAAGTAAAATGCGCACGCCACTTTTACAAGCTATTTAAAAACGAAGGAAAGCAAGGAAAAGAGGGAACGCCTCCGCCCCCACGGTGATACCGGTATTATAAAGCGCATCCATCCATCATAAAAAGTGCCTCACATGGCTGCAGGGGGTGAATAAAGGCCTCCTTTGTGTAAGAAAAAAATCCGTATTTAAAACTTTATAAGCCGTAATCTCTAGCTTCCGCTAACTGTCGTATGCACGTTCATTCCAGCTAGAGATTACGGTTTATAAAGTTTTAAATATGGATATTTCTCTTACACAAACGCATTGATTCGCTACAGGAGGCCTTTATTCACCCCCCGGAGTTTTCATTTTTGGGAGAACTATCCCTTTAATCAATATCCAATGGATTTTGAATAAAATGCAGCATCCCATTCATTAACAAACATATTAACATCAATCTAGATTGTCATTTCTGGAATTTATGTCAAATAAATGCCATGTAAAATACATACAGTATTCATCAAATGGTTATTTTTACATGTACACTGTAAAAAAAAAACTTTTTTTCTAAAGTTGTATATAAAACTAAGATTACTGGAGTATGTTTTACAAAAAAATACTATTTTAGTTTTTCTACTAATTCACAAGTTGTAAATAAAACAGATTATAAAAGTACATTTTACAAGAAATTACTATCTCTGTTTTTCTACTTCAAAATATCATGTTTAATTCAATGCCATTTCTTCTGAATTACTTGTGAAATTCACTAGCAAGTTCTTCTTCTACACAAGTTTTTTCAGTGTAAATATACATGACCATAACAGGAAGAGAAAGCAATGTACGCTGAAAAAATTGAAGCAGAATTTACTTGGAAAAAAGCTAGGGATCAATTTTCACTCAGAAATTGCTAGTAAATTTCCCAAATTATTACAAAGAAATGGCAAGTAAGACTTAAACATGAAATTCTGAAACTATTTTCTTGTAAAATCTACTCTAGTAATCTTTTTCTTTTATTTACAACTTAGAAATATCATTTTACAGTGTATATGTTGTGTGAAAAATACCCAAAAGACCTTCTGACTAAGAAATTTATGATAAATCCGATAGATACTGTTAGAATATTCATACGGACTCATCAGCAAAACAAACACCTGCAGAAACACACACGGCCAACATAAAATATATACTGTTTACTGCTTTATATAGAAAATTTAGTTAAATTTTAAACACATTCAGCAAAAATGAACTGAGATGCCAGTTCATAAACAGAAGATAATTCAACATGTCTTTGAAATGATTATAAAACGGATTCATATACTGGATCAGACAGAAAATATGAGTCATAAATAATCAAGCCAATGAGCAAACCACACTTATATTAAATGTTTTTGTATTTAAACTGTCCATGTCAAAAGTGTAATTTCATCTGTTGATACTAAAATCTTTATATTACATTTCATTAATTATATCCGTGACCCTACAGATGATGAGCGGACTGGGGAAGGAATTGATGAAGTAATAAAATGCACATCTTTACAGTTTTGATCTTTCTAATTTTATATACTATTTTCAGTTAAGAAATTTGCACATGCTTGCAACATTTCTGTAGGAGCGAACTAAAAAAAACAACCCACACAAAACACGACTAAAACACCAACCTGAAAATACATGCTGAATCCTGATGAAACACTTACCACACACAACACACACACACACACACACACACACACACAAATCTTATTTGCATTTATATAGAACATACTATTGACCATTCTGAGTGAATCAAGTGGAGGGAGGAGATGAAAAGGAACTGATGCATATGTGAGAGAGGCGTTTCCTGCACCGCCACTCTGTGGGGTTTCTCCAAGATGCCCGTGTAAGTTTGTATTGTCTGTTTCTCAGGAGATCAAAGTATCTGAGTTTCGGAACTGATGCATATGTGAGAGACGTTTTCCGCATTTTCTCTCAGTGAGATGCAGAAACAGATGTCTGTATGTTAATGCACTGTGTGTGTATTGTCTGTCTCAGAAGTATCTTAATTTCTTTTATCCTTACACAATATTGGTAAAAAAAAATATCGCAATTAGATTATTTTCCAAAATCGTTCAGCCCTAACGCACGCACACACACACGCACTCACACACGCACTCACACACACACTTACTTATCTATCTAAATGGGGACATTCTATAAACTTCTTTTGTTTTGATATACAGTTTTGACATACTAACTGTAATGAAAAACTTTCTGTATTTTTAGCATTAAAAAACTTTTAAAAAGGAGGACATCCCCCAAAATATGGTTAAGTAGGCACACACACACACACTCTCTCACACACACACACACACTCTCTCACACACACACACACACTCTCTCACACACACACAC